GCTTAGAATACCTGTGGCCACCCACTTTGAGTGAAATTTTAATTTTTGGAGGTGAAAAAAAAGCAAAAAATCAAAAACTTCAAAACTTCACAGAATGACTTAGAATACATGTGGCCATCCACTTTGAGTGAAATTTAAATTTTTTTAGGTGAAAAAAAACATAAAAAATCAAAAATTTCAAAACTTCACAGAATGACTTACAATACCTTTAGCCACCCACTATGAGTAAAATTTAATTTTTTTTTAGATGCCCAAATGGTATTTTTGATTTTATTTTTATTTTTTTGGTTCCTAAAGAAAATTAAATTTCACTCAAAGTGGATGGCCACATGTATTCTAAGCCACTCTGTGAAGTTTTGAAAATTTTTCTTTTTTGCTTATTTTTATTTTTTTTTCGACACCTAAAAAAAATTAAATTTCACTCAAAGTGGGTGGCCACAGGTATTCTAAGCAATTATGTGAAGTTTTTTATTTTTTATTTTTTTATATTTTTCGTCACCTAAAAAAATTTAAATTTCGCTTAAAGTGGATGGCCACAGGTATTCTAAGCCATTTTGTGAAGTTTTGGAATTTTTTCTTTTTTTCTTTTTTTTTTTTAATTTTTTTCGGCACCTAAAAAAATAAAATTTCGCTCAAAGTGGGTGGCCACAGGTATTTTAAGCCATTCTGTAAAGTTTTGAAATTTTTACTTTTTTGCTTATTTTTATTTTTTTGCATATAAAAAATTTAAATTTCACTCAAAGTGGTGGCACATGGTATTTTAAGCTATTCTCATGAAGTTTTGAAATTTTATATTTTTTTATTTTTTCTGGCACTAAAAATTTAAATTTCACTCAAAGTGGATGGCCACAAGTATTCTAAGCCATTCTGTGAAGTTTTGAAATTTTTGATTTTTTGTTTTTTTTATTTTTTTCGGCACCTAAAAAAATAAAATTTTGCTCAAATTGGGTGGCCACAGGTATTCTAAGATATTCTGTGAAGTTTTTAAATTTTAGAATTTTTAATTTTTTTTTGGCAACTAAAAAAATTAAATTTTGCTCAAAGTGGGTGGCCATAGGTTTTCTAAGCCATTTTGTGAAATTTTGAAATTTTTTATTTTTATTTATTTTTATTTATTTTTTTCGGTACCTAAAAAAATTTAAATTTCACTGAAAGTGGGTAGCCACAGATTCTAAACCATTCTGTTAAGTTTTGAAATTTTTAATTTTTTGCTTTTTTTTCTCTCCTCAAAGATCGTGACTTCCATATGAATATGTGTGTTGAAAAAAATGAATTCCTCAGAAATGGTTCTCACTTTTGTTCCAGAAATGAAAAACCAACTTTTTTTTTGTTCTCATTTCTGGTTTCAAAATCAGTTTTGGAAGTAAACTTGTCCCGGAAATAGAAAAATGAAATTGCGTTACCAAACGGGTTTCTGGTCCAAAACTGATTCTGGGAACAAAAAATCAGTTCTTGACAGAATCAGAATGGTTTTCATGCAGCACCTAAATTCTTACGAACATCTGGCACATGCAGAACATTATTTAGTGTCACAATTTTTCCAGATGTCATCTTTAGAGCAATCTTTCCGATACCTTCAACCTTAGAGGTTGATGAATTACCCATATAAAGTTTTTCATCACCCCCCACAGTTGTGTAGGACGAGAACATCGATCTGTTTGCACAGATATGACGAGTTGCTCCAGTATCAATCCACCACTCCTTGGGGTTTCCCACCATATTACACTCGGATATCATAGCAGTCAGATTGATATCATCAACACCATTGGAAATCTCTTCCATCACATTAGCCTGAGTTTTCTGTCTTTTCTTGGCTATGCAATCTTTGGCTCGATGTCCAGACTTGCCACAGTTGAAGCACTTGCCAACGAACTTCTTCAGGCCTTGAGTGGATCCCTCTCCAGACTTGCTAGGCATTTTCCTCTTCTTGTTGGGTTTCGATCCTTCTTCAACAACATTGGCCTTTGAAACCTCTAGGTTCTTCCCAACTTTCTTCTCAAAAAGCCTATTGTCTTCCTCAATCCTCAACCGAACAATCAAGTCTTCAAGTGACAACTCCTTTCTCTTGTGTTTGAGATAATTTTTGACATCTCTCCAGGATGGTGACAGTTTTTCAATGAAGGCAGCTACTTAAATTGACTCACTTAGAGTCATTCCTTCAACATGAATATCATGCATAATCACTTGAAGCTCTTGAACCTAACTTAAGACGGTCTTTGAATCAATCATCTTGAAGTCCAGAAATTTACCGACAATGAATTTCTTCAATCCGGCATCTTCGGTTTTGTATTTCTTGTCCAGACTATCCCATAACTCGTTAGCCGTTTTCAGCGGACTATAGACGTTATAGAGAGTATTGTCCAGACCGTTGAGGACATAGTTGCGACACAGGAAGTCAGAATGATTCCATGCATCCACAGCAGCCAACTTTTCTTTATTTGTCTCTCCAACGTCCAATTTAGGACCATCCTCATTGAGGAATCTAGCCAAGTTCAAGGTCGTGAGATAGAACAACATCTTTTGTTGCCATCTCTTGAAATCCATGCCATTGAACTTTTCTGGCTTTTCTCCGTGATTCGGAATAGGGTTGACCGGAGTCGAAGTCAAAGCCATTTCTGAAATACAAATACAGGACATATTCACGAACAGAATCGGAAATATATGACTGTGAACAGAATCGTTTGTTCATTAACAGAATTGAAAATTTTTAATATGAACAGAAACGAAAAACTTGTTCACGAATAGAATTGAAAATTTTAATATGAACAGAAACGAAAAATTTGTTTACGAACAGAATTAAAAAAAATTGTAACAGGAACAGAATGTATGAACAGAATCGTATTCCTATACGACTATGACAAGGAACATACGAACTATACAGAATACTTAGACCATGCAAATCATTATACGAACATAACCGAAGCAAAATTCGTCTTAAGATTGTTGTCGGCTAAGTTCGCATGCCAGAAATTGAAATGAAACGTTAGGAAAACTAACCTGAAAGCAGCACAAACAAATAAACAAAATGTTGATCCGAGCCCAACAAAGTAACGTCGTGTCCTTAAGACGAATTTGACCCCTCAATCAGTACCCGAGGATATTGGACAATCGTCTCCCAGGATAGAACGGATCTCATTCCTCTGAAGCGGTACGTATTCAGAGGACTCCTTCGAACGCAATTTTGCATAGACAACCGCACAAAATGAGAGCACGGCAATATGACTTTCGGAAAAACAGAGATTCGTTCGGTCATGCGCGAATGAATAGTCACCAGCGAATTTCGGTTCGGTTACTCTCACTCAATAAAACCGACGGGAACCCGGGCCCGATCTGAGCCGGCCAGACGAACGACGGCGGCGCGCGCGCGGGGAAACCGACCCAGCTTGGCGTAGATTCTCTCTCTTCCACAAAAATGGGGTACCCCTTGGGGCCTAAACCCATTTGTGAAGCTCAACTATTTAAACCCATCTCCCATCTCTCTTCCATTCAATGTGGGACTTCTCCACCCACACCTCTTATTCACTTTACAAGGGATTTGCACCCAAAATTCCAACACACTTCACCATAAAAAAAGCGAGCAATTTATCATGAGGAGGGTGCACTTCACCCTAAAGAGCATTGCACATTATTTAGAACAGGACTGCATCTCAACAGGAACCTTGTAATTGCTCAGTAAACAAGCATGTCCTGACACCCTGTATTTAGCTGGGTCAAGAAATGGGGGCCAGACAGCAACAAGGAGTACTGTGCGAACGATAGTAAGAAGGGATCCAACGTCATTCTCCCTCTGCCCTCTTCACCATGTGCAGTTGCAGGCCCATGTGCAAAGCATCCAAAGAACAACAATAACATACAAACTATAGATAAAATGGCAAAGAAAATCGAAAATCGATGTACATGGAGGGAGAGAGAGAGAGAGAGAGAGAGAGAGAGAGAGAGAGAGAGAGAGAGAGAGTAATAAATAAATTATTTGTGCAAAAGAGCAATGAAAATAGAAAAGTAATTATATGAATTATAAAAGTTTGATGCCTTTGGCTTCCGCGCATGTCCCGCCACAATCACCGTTCTTTCCATGCTTTGCCCATGGGGCCTGCAACTGGGAAAGGTGAAGAGGTCTTCCGCTGCTTCGTACAATAATTCTCGTTCTTGTCTGGCTCCCATTTCTTGAACCACCCCTTGTAATTTCCCAAAAAAAAAAAACCTAGCAGTTAATTAAATTTATCAAGTTGTCCGTCTTTGGAAAATATTGAGTCGGTGGACGAACTGGAGTTAGGTACTCCCACTATACACCTAATTAGACATAAGCCTGTCTTATCTAACCTTATTGTCTTGAAATTTCATATTTGTTTAACCTTGATACCAATGAGGTATTTACGATATTTTTTTTCTTTTTAAAGATTTAGCGATCAAATTGTGTCTAAACTAGCTTGAAGGTTTGCAATGAAATTCGATCTGGGGCCACTCAATTTTCCCCCTCTAATCTTATGCATAATGTATCTTTATGAGAGCAAATCTAGGTAGCAACCATAGTAATGAAGAAAAGTAACGTTTTTTTCTTTCTGGACATTATTTAGATATGACTTTTTTTATCAAGTGTTTATGGACACCTGTTGAGCAATCGACTGCATAATTTTTGGAGCTTTCAGTACATTGAGCTCTCGTGTTAAGGTGGTATTCGATCTACATGAACAAAAATTATTTAATAACTTCTCCTTTTTTTCGTAATGGGATGGGGTTCATGAGGCTGCATGATGCCATATGATCTATGTGATGCATGATGGTGGTGGATGGGTGTGTTTGGGAATTCGTGTGATGTGAGCGGTGAGAGAGAACGATTGATCCCGCGTGGCTTTAATGATGCCAAAACTGCGGTGCGACTCTGCAGTTTCGGGGTTGGTTTGGAGACGGGGCCCTCTTCTTTACTTTCTGAGCCTTTGGTGGCTTTAATGATGCCAAGACTTGTTGGTCCCGCGTCCGACCAACTTGCTTCCGATAAAATATAGGCAAAAGAAATGAAATTCAAATTCAAATGAGACGAGATGAAATGCAACGGCAGCTCCTTCCGAGAAAGAAAGTGCACTTTAGTGCTTGAAAAGTCTTTGGTTTATCACACCATCGTTTGACGCTGTTGTCCTGGAAATAAGAACTTGGGTTTCCTCTCCGCTCAGTACACTTTGTTTCAAACCATCTTCGCACTCTTGTTTAATCCTCTGCCGCTCACGAACCAAGCCATGCCCCTCGCGGAGCTCTTTCTTGGCGCTTTTCTCCAGGTGCTGTTTGATAGGTTGGCCTCTCGCGAGCTTCTCTACTTTGCGCAGTGCGAGGGTATCGATACGCTGCTGAAGAAATGGGAGAAGATGCTAATCAGTATCAACCAAGTGCTGGATGATGCAGAGGACAGGCAACTGATTGGCGATCTTGGGGTGAAGTTGTGGCTCGAAGATCTCAGGAACTTGGCCTACGATATCGAAGACTTGCTAGACGAGTTCGCCGCAGAATCTGCAAAAAACAAGTCCAAGGCAGAACCCGATACTAGCAAGGCGCGTTCCCTTCTTCCGAGTTGTTGCTTCAGATCGAGCCCAAGAGCATTTATGTTCGACCGCAAAATGAGATCCACGATAGAAGAGATGGATCGCAGATTAAAGGATGTCATCACTCAAAAAGATACTCTAAACTTGAGAGAGACTAACGGGAATCGATCAGCAGACCGTCGACAGGATAAGCCGCTTCCCACCACCTATTTGCCCGAGCCTGGTTTCGTTAGTAGGGAGGATGAAAAAAGGGAGATCCTCAAATTACTGACAGGAGAAGAGGATGATAGAACATATGCGGATCTAAAAGTGATTCGCATCGTGGGGATGGGGGGTGTTGGGAAGACAGCTCTGGCTCAGCAAGTCTATAATGATGCTAGAGTCACCGGTTATTTCGATGTGAAAGCATGGGCTTGCGTTTCTGATAATTTCGACGTGCTTGCTATTACAAAGACAATCCTAGAGACAATCAATGGCCATTTGTCTTGTGAAGGTAAGGACCTGAATTGGCTTCAAGATAAGCTCAAGGAAAACCTTTCGAGGGAGAAGTTTCTTGTTGTTTTAGACGATGTTTGGAACGAGAATTATGGAAACTGGACTACCCTCTTGAAGCCTTTTCAATCGGGAGCGAAGGGAAGCAAGATTATCATCACGACTCGTAATCTCCAAGTTGCTGAAATAGCCGGTGCTCCACCATATACTTTGAAAGAGTTGTCACAAGATGCTTGTATCACTTTGTTTGCATTTCATGCTCTAGGAGTCGGAAATTTCGATTGTCATCCCCATCTTGAAGAATTAGGTCGAAAAATAGTAGGAAAATGCAAAGGGTTGCCATTAGCAACGAAGACATTGGCCGGGCTATTACGCACCAAAGTTGGTCCCCATGAATGGGAAGCTATATTGAACAGCAAAATTTGGGACCTACCAAAAGAAAGTAATGACATCCTTCCGGCTTTGAAACTTAGCTACCTCCATCTTCCTTTGAATCTAAGGAGATGTTTTGCTTACTGTGCTATATTTCCCAATGACTACGAAATCGAACGGGATGAGTTGATTCACTGGTGGATTGCAGAGGGCTTGTTGGAGGGAAAAGAAGGAAAGAACTGTTGGAATACAGGTTTGAAATTTTTCAATGAGCTAGTATCTAGATCGTTACTTCAAAAGTCGAGTAGAAGTGAATCACGATTCTTGATGCATGATCTTGTGAATGACTTGGCAAAGCTAGTTGCAGGTGCAACCCATTTTAACTCAGAGGAGTTTAAGTTCGAAGGTAATCAACATACTGCATCTTTAGCTCGTCATGCCTCATTTATATCCAACGATCACATTGTGTCAGAAAGACTCAAAATATATCATGGAATGAAGGGACTTAGGAGTTTCATATCGTTAGATAAGCATAAGCAATATAGTAGTTTATTTTTGTCTCAGAAAGTGCTATGTGACTTGTTATCTGGATTGAAGTACTTGAGGGTGCTTTCATTAAGTGGCTACTGTATAACAGAGGTACCGGATTGCATTGGCAAACTAAGGCACTTAAGGCACCTTAATCTGTCACATACTTATATTAGAACGCTTCCAAAGTCAATTATTGCATTGTACAACCTAGAGGCTTTGATGTTGCGGAACTGTCTATTTCTTATTGAATTACCAAAAGGTATGGAGAAACTGATTAATCTGAGATTTCTTGACATTACCAACACTCCGAGCCTAAGAGCAATACCGCTATATATAGGTAATATGGTGGGTCTTGAGATGTTGACCGAATTTGTAGTGGCAATAGGAGATGGCTCGAGGTTGAAGGAGTTAAAAAACTTAGAGAACCTTCGAGGGGAATTGTGCATCTCTAGTTTGCATAAGGTTCGAGAAGCCGAAGATGCCAAAGATGCCAATTTACACACCAAGGAGGGAATATACCGGTTGAACATGCAATGGAGTACGAATTTTGAAAATTCCCGGAATGAAGAACTTGAAGCAGAAGTCTTGGACTTTCTTTGCCCTCACAAAAAGCTTGCAAATTTTGAAATATCCTACTATGGTGGCCTAGAATTTCCGTCATGGTTAGGAAGTCCCCCACATGTTAACATAGTGCATTTACGTTTACATGGGTGTCATAAGGCCAAAGCATTACCATCACTTGGGCAGCTATCTTTGCTGAAAGAATTGTACATCGAAGGTCTATATGCGATATGCACGGTAGGGTTTGAATTTTATGGAACTAAAAGTCCTTTTCCGTCCTTAATTACTTTGGTGTTCGAGGACATGCCATTGTGGGAGGATTGGTCTCATCGCGTCCACACCGAAGAAGTAGGAGTATTATTCCCTTGTCTTGAGCATCTCGCCATTAAGTATTGCCCTATGTTGATGGGAAGATTGCCTAGTCAACTAAGCTCCCTCATAACGCTTGAAATCAAATCTTGTCCTCGTATGGATGCCTCGCCCTCTATCACGAGCCTTCCATCTCTCAATGAATTAAACTTTGGAGGTTGTAATGAGGGGGTGCTGAAGAGTTTCGTAAACCTGACATCTCTAACCGCTCTTGCCATTGAAAATGTTGCTGAATTAACTTGCTTAAATCATGGGTTCACAAGCTCCTTGATCAAGCTAGAGAAGTTGGAGATGCGGAATTGTAACGAGTTAATATACTTGTGGCAAGATAGAGATGTCATCCGAAATCTCGCTTGCCTGAAGAACTTAGTCATCGATAGATGTCCGAAATTCATATATTTTGTGGCTCGAGAAGGAGATATGGAGCTGCCCGACAATCTCGAGACTATTGAATTGACATTTTGTGTCAATTTAGAGAAGCTCCCAAGCAAGATGCACACCCTCGCCTCTCTTAGAGACTTAAGAGTCGATAACTGTCAAAAACTCGTGTCCTTCCCCGAAACAGGTATACCACCATCGGTGATATCATTAAACGTTAGAGGTTGCAATATGTTACAATCTTTACCCAGAGGATTAAGTATTCATCCGGATGAACCAAGCACTGGCAACAGTAGCAATAGCAATAACTGCATTGACATGACGTCTTGTCTGCAAGAATTATCAATCCGCGAATGCAATTCTCTGCCAGCCTCTCTATTCAGCGAGGGTAGATTTTTACCTGCGACCCTCGAGACACTTAGGATTTCTTACTGCAATGGAGTGGAGTCGCTCGCGGAGATAAATATAGACCGTCTTCAGTCGCTTCAAGAGATTGAAATTAGGGATTGCGAGAATTTGAGAAGTTTACCTCCGTGCCTGCACGCACTGTCCCATCTCACTTCCTTGGCATTGGTCAAGTGTCCTGCATTGGAGCTAGAGTGCTTCCCTCTTCTTCCTCTCAGCATCTCGAGATTTTCTCTTAAGGAGTGTCCAAAGATAAAATCGTTACCTAATCAGTTGTATCGACTTCCATATCTCTGTGAACTGGCAATTTCAGAGTGTGAGAGTATTACGTGCTTCCCCGATAGAGGATTGCCGCCCCAGCTGCAGGAACTTACGGTATGGAAATGTGGGAATATGAAGCAGCCGGTGAGGGAGTGGCTTACCCCCCTCACCTCCCTTCAATTTCTCTGGATAGAAGGCAATGCCGGAGGAGCGGGAGAGGAGAAGGATCTTCGGCTTCCGCTCCCTTCCTCTCTGCTCCATCTCCGTATGTATGACATGAGGAAGGTGGAAAGACTGGCCAGCAGTCTCCCTCCCTCTCTCCAGAGCTTATGGATCGATAATTGCCCGAAGCTGAGGGAGTTGCCCCAGGATGGCCTCCCTCCCTCCCTTGAATGGCTCTGGATCAGGGGATGTGGGATTCTGGAGGAGCGATGCAAGAAAGGGACCGGCCGCTATTGGCCCCTCATCCGCGAAATCCCGCGGGTCAGATTGAGCCGTGACCCATTCCGGTCAATTACTTAAAAGGAGGATTCAGACTCGAATGCTATTATATGCGGGGAAGAGATAGGGGGGGTTTTTAATATTATCTGAGCTTTGACTTTTTTTTTTTTTGGGCGTAACCATCACCATCCCAATCGCCGCCTCTCTCCGCTTCTTCTTCGGCTCTCCTCCTCTCGATGGCCCTTCGGGGTAAAAACCAGGTATTTGATTTCAACTCGCTGTCAAATTCTCTCCTCAGATTTGGTACCGGTTCCCCCCACTACGATCTCATCGATCCCGGCACAAATTGTTGTTGACGGGGGCTGCTCGCGTCTTTGAACTTTGGATTTCTCGTCCACCAATTCTTTTGTCATCACTACGCTCCAGTCCTCATTACCCAAACATTCTCTCCATCTTTGCTGGCCTCGCAGGTTAACATCGGCAATTCCCACCCATTGGTGGAGCTTGTCAGTACTAAAGTCCGAGGAGGAGGAGATGCTGAAGGGTTGGACCCCGGACGTGAGATTGCTCCTCATTGTAGAGGCGAAGAAGAAGGGGTACGTGCCACTGCGGGCTAGCTTCCTTGTTAACATCTTGGACTTTGGCGGAAGCTTTTCCCATGATTTTTTGTTGGTTCTCGAATTACTGGCGGGGATAGAGGTATGTATATGTTCTCTTTCCCCCGTTCGCTGAGTGTCTTGTTTTTCCCCTGATGTTCAATCCACTAGATGAATCTAAAGTCTGGACATGATTTATATGATGAATAAATAGCAAAAGACGAGTTTGAAAAATGTTTGAAAGTTGCATTGCATCAAAAAAGTATGGCTCAGAACTTCAGATGGATAGAGCAAGTTCATTTCATGTTAATGGCAATTAAGATGCTTTAAATCCTCTTTCCCGTTTTAGTCTGGAAACTCCATTTGAACACATTTACTAAGTTGTGGAATGCACCTCACTAATTTCGATTCTTATATGTGAAATTTACTTTTGCAGCATTCACCTGAAGTGGAAGGAACTCGATATTAGCTTTCTGTTTGCATCTGCCGATTCAAAGTGCTTGTTCCCATGCGCGCAATCTTCTCATTTCTGAGCATATCGTGATGCACATCGAAATCTACGGTGGAAACGGATTTATTGCGCCTCAACCCTTCCATTCCAGCATTCTACTCACCATCCAAGACTAAGGAATGGTTTAGTCGGTTTGAGTACAGACACAAATGAAGACGTTTCACTGACTGGATAGCACTCAATGAAATCTTTGCCCAAAGTTCGTTTCGATAACTGTTCATATCCTGCTTTGTGGAATCAAAGATGCATAGCCCTGGATTCTAGAGTCGCTGGTTGGCAAAGTTTAAAGGGTGAGTAGATTTGTTTCTGCTGCTACTTTTGACTAGCTGTTTAGGAGGCGGGTAATGATCATGGGGGTGTAATCAGAATTTAGAAAGAATCTCTTCTGAAGGATTGGCAAATTGTCCGCACTGCTTGTTCATTTCTAGCATTGTATCAAAGCACATATCAATGATTTAAAGTTTCTCGTCTGTTATGTTGTTTGTTAAAATTTCCTCGGTCATCTCATTTACGTGATTATGCCCACATTCTGTTGTGCATTAGGGATCGGTTCTATGGGAGGGGAGTGTTATGATATATATATCACTTGGCTCGTTTCCTAAAAGCTTAAGCTTTTAAAAGATGCATTTGTCTAACATGCAGCAATCAAATCAAACAGCATGAGCAATCAGCCAACCCTATGTTCTCGATTGGTTCTTTCTTCTAGTTATTTTGGATGGTCTGAAAGACTTTCAGACAATCTCATAAAATCATCAGATTACAACAAGATTTAAAGCTTGGACAGTTAAAAGCCGCTCATATGCCGAAGACCTTCAGCTTATTAAATCTTTTATTTATAATCTGGTTAACTATTAGAGCCAACTCTTTCTGTTGCCAAGAAAGTTTTTGAAATGGTTGAGCGCAGGTGTAGAGCTTTCATTTGGAAGGGAGATCCGGATGCTAAAGAGGGAGCAAAAGTTAGATGGGGAACTGTCTGTCCTCCTAAGCAGTTTGGAGGCCTTAGCATTCGAAGACTGGATTTGTGAAATCTGGCTTGTATTTTAAAGTGTCTGTGGAGTATTTTGTTGAGGTACGGTCTCTATGTTTTTCCTGGCTCTATAGCTATCATCTTGACTGGAAACCAGATGCTAGTTATGCTTGGAAGAAGTTATTAAATGTCGGGAATATCTTGAAACCCCGCATTAGATATATAGTGGGTAATGGATATAATATTTCTCTTGGTATGATTTGTGACACCATGCTAGGATCTTGCGGGAATCATTTCTCAAGGAGAATAGCTTATGAATCTTCTCTTCCTCTACAGGCCAAAGTATCTGCTGTTATTCGTAACTCTCATTGGAAGTGGCCCGCTGCTAGGTCTAGAGAGTTGGTTTCCATCCAAGCTGCTGTTTGTGGTGTGAATTTTCGTAATTCCTCAGCTGCAGAGAGTGTTGTATGCACAGCTTCTTCAACTGGTTGCCTTAACTCTTTTGTTGCTTGGGAAATTGTCAGAAACAAGAATGCTGATGTTGACTGGTACAGACTTTGTGGTTCTCCCCTAATGTGCCAAGATTTGGCTTTAATTCTTGGTTAATAATGCATGATAAAATCCCTACTTTTGAGAGGATTAACAGTTGGTCTGTTGGGAGAACAAGATCTCTCTACATGTTTTGTAATCTAAGTATTGAATCTCGCTCTCATCTAATTTTTCAAGCGTAGTTTCTCTAGTGAAGTACAGAGGAAGGTCTTAATTCTGTCAAGCTAATCACTGAATCTCGCTGTCATTTAGTTCTTGATGTTTAATGTATTCAACATTATCAAGTTCTCCGTTAAGCATAGTTTTGAGTGTTGCCTTGGTGTCAAAATAAGATCGGCACCGATAAGCGTTGTAGGTTGTCTTGCTTGGGAATCTTAAGTTTGTGAAAACTATCGAGCTAGAGTAAGGTTTGTTCGAGGTTGTGCTTCTTGTTGTTTTTTGGTGTGTAAAGTTGCGTGTTTTAATCTGAAAACTATCCAGTGACGGCAAATAAATGTCAATTCCAACCCTCTTCTTTTCGGGTCCAATTTTTATGAGGTCCGGTTACTGACCTTCGCATTTCTCCAGATTGTCATTGGAGGAAGAAGCACAATCGATGAACAGGAGTTGTTATAAGGTTAAAAAGATAAATGCTTATTGACTAAGATTTCGAGAGAGACCAAAAGATTCCAAGAGAGACTTTACAACATTTTATTTTGCATTCATGGTAATTCCGTAGGAAATTCAACATCCAAATTCGGCCCTTTTTCTTGTAGCTATTTGCCATAATATCATCATCATTTTAATAAAGAAATTATTTGTAAAAAATAAAATAAATAAATAAAAATAAAGAAATTGTTTGGAACTGTCGATGGTGTTTGTGCTCGGGCTTACTTTTAAAAGCAAGTTTGTCGATGAAGACCTCTTCCAAGAAGCAGCCCCACGGCTTTGCAAGAAAATCCGACTTGTGAAGCCTTTTCTCCTTCGCCTATTTCTTTCGGACCATTGAAGGAAAGTTCCTGGACATTTTGAACGACCCCATATTGATGATGGTCGCTGTTGAGGGAGTCTTACAAACAATCTTTGGACTTTTGTAAACTCATTTAATATTAGACCATTCACGCAGAGTAATAGATGTTCATCAAATATAGCTACCCGACTTCATCGAAATCTTCTGATCTTATGATTATTCAAATCATATCACGATTGTCGATTGTTAATTGATAGAGCCGGTACTTCCTATGCATGCTCCATGAAATAGTTCTTAGCTTGCCTTGAGCGGCCTTTCACTCTCGATAATTACAAAAGACCCCTACCAACAGATGGGCGAAGTCTCCAGCTTCAAAATAAGATTGAGCGTTGTGATATAACCGCTTGTGCTTCAAAGCAATTGATTGTCTTATGCATCATTGTACATCTAGGATATTTTATTCCTTCCGGCTTTGATGAAGACACGGGAGAGATGCTTAGAATTCAGACTAGGTTTCTTTTTTGCATTTGCAGGTTACTGTTTTCAAGCAATGTACGAGTAAATTAGCATCTCTGAACGAAAAGCTGATCGGTATTAAAACGAGTGGTGGTGAGGCGAATGTTATTTACCTTCTAGCTTTGTCTTTGATATTTGCACATGACATGTCCAAGACTTTTAGCCGCTCCATTCCGGCTATGTGAAGGATGGACTTTTTTAGGGCAGCTCTTGAGAAATAGATTTACAGTCGAGCCGTGGTAGAAATGATGTCATTTTTATGTGTGGTTGCATTAAACCTTTCACAGTTATAAAATTTGAACCTAAGAGTAAAACATGCACTGAGATAATTCCGTAATTGCAATCTTAAACTAAATTGGATCAAATTAAAACTATTCCTAAGATGCAACTACCTAAATTGGATCTCCATTCTTTTTTTTTTTATATTTTATATTTTCAACTTTTTTACTTTTGATTTTGATTTTTGATTTTTTGAGGATTATCGAGCAACTCACCACCAATAAAACGAGGGGTGACATTTTTACAATCTCAAAGCATGAATGGCAAGCTGAGAAGATGTCAACATGATGCAGCGAAGATTTAGCTCAAATTACTCATTTCTTTACCTCGCAGAAAGCAACTTTCATCTCCTTCGCACAGTAATTCTTGTTCTTGTCTGGCTCCCATTTCTTGAACCACCCCTTAAACCTTGTAATTTCCGAAAAAAAAAACCTTGTAGTTAATTAAAGTTACCAATTTGTCCATCTTTGGAAAATATTGAGTCGGTGGACCAATTGTAGTTAGGTACTCCCACTATTTTCCTAATTAGACGTAAGCCTATCTTATCGACCTTGCTGCCTTGAAATTCATATTTTGTTTGACCTTGAGACCGATGAACTATTTATGATATTTTTTTCTTTTTCAAAATTTAGCGATCAAATTGTGTCTGAACCAGCTTGAAGGTTTGCAATGAAATTCGATTTGGCGCCACTCGATTTTTCCCCCCTAATCTTATGCATAATGTATCTTTATGAGAGCAAATCCAAGTAGCAACCATAATAATGTAGAAAAGTAACAGTTTTTTTCTTTCTGGACATTATTTAGAAATGATTTTTTTATCAAGTGTTTCTAGACACCTGTTAAGCAATCAACTACATAATTTTTGGAGCTTTCAACGCATTGAGCTCGTGTTCCGTTGAATAATGTTGAGACCCATATGGTCAATAGTTAAGGTGGTATTTGGTCGACATACACTAAAATTATGTAATAACTGCTCCTTTATTTGATAATAGGATGGGGTTCATGAGGCTGCATCAATGAAACCATGATGCCATATGATCTTATGTGATGCATGATGATGGTGGATGGGTGCATTTGGGAATTCGTGTGGTGTGAGTGGAGAGAACTGATAATTGAACAATAACAGAGCAGAAGTTTCGGGGCTGGGTTGGAGACAAGTCCACTTCTTTACCTTCCGAGCCTTCGGTGGCTTCAATGATGCCAAGACTTGTTGGTCCCACGTCCGACCAACTTGCTTCCGAGAAATTAAAGGCAAAAGAAATTAAATTAAATCAAATGAGACGAAATGAAATGCAACGGCAGCTCCTTCCGAGAAAGAAAGAGCACTTTAGTGCTTGAAAAGTCTTTGGTTCATCACACCATCATTTGATGCTGTTGTCCTTGAAATAACAACTTGGGTTTCCTCTCCGCTCAGTACACTTTGTTTCAAACCATCCTCGCAATCTTGTTTAGGGTGCGCATGACAACAATTCTGTGCTCGAGAACTGATTCTGCTAAAAAATGATTCTTTTTTATTCAGTGCGGATGAACTGATACTCAGCATTTAAAGGCGTTTGGTAACGGTCCAAAATTTCTATTCCTGAAATAGAAAAAGAACAAAAATGCATTTGGTAATGGCACAAAATTTCTTTTTATTAATAATATTTTTAAATATTTTAATATTTTTTTCTTTCTTTTTCTTTTCTTTTTTTCTTCTCCTCCTTCTTGGCCATGGCCTGGTCGCCGACCATGTCGCCGACCACAGGCCAAGGCCGGTGAGGGCGTCGCGGCCCTCATTGGCCTTTTCTAGCCCTCGTCTGAGCCGGTGAGGGCCGCCCTCGAGGCTCGCGGCCTAGACGAGGGCCGACCTCGTCGGCTCGGGCTAGGGCTGGAAAAGGCCGGCGAGGGCTGCACCGGCCCTCGCCTGTGTCGCCGGTGGCCGGCCAGGCAAAAAGAATGAAGAAGAAGAACAACAGAAAGAACGGGAAATAAGAAGGAGAAAAAAAATAATTTCTTTTCCAATTCTAATTCTTGTTCCCAGAATCAAGAAACTACTTTTTTTTTTTACTTTTTGATTCTGTTCCAAAACTGATTCTAGGAACAGTTTTTTGCAAATTTGTGCCTAGGAACAGAAAGTTTACCAAACGGATTTTTGTTCCAAAACTAATTCTGAGAACAAAAGAACATAAATTTTCACTGTTTGGCAAGTTGCCAAACAGGCCCTTAATTCTCTGCCACTCCTGAACCAAGCCATGCCCCTCGCGGACCTCTTTCTTGGCACCTTTCTTCAGGTGTTGTTTGATAGGTTGGCCTCTTGCGAACTTCTCAACTTTGCGCGGCGCGAGGGTATCGATACACTGTTGAAGAAATGGGAGAAGATGCTCATCAGTATCAACCGAGTGCTGGATGATGCAGAGTACAGGCAACTGAAAGGCGATCTTGGGGTGAAGTCGTGGCTTGAAGATCTTAGGAACTTGGCCTACGATATCGAAAACTTGCCTGACGAGTTCGTCACAGAATTCGCGAAAAACGAGTCCAAGGCAGAACCCCGCACTATCAAGGCGCGTTCTTCCCTTATTCCCAGTTGTTGCTTTAGATTGAGCCCGAGAGCATTTATGTTCGATCGTAAAATGAGATCCAAGATAGAAGAGATGGATGGCAGATTGAAGGATATCATCATTCAAAAAGATACTCTGAGCCTTGGAGAGAATAACAGGATTCAATCAGTATACACCCGAGTGGATAAGCCGCTTCGCACTACAAATTTGCCCGAGCCTTATTTCATTAGTAGGGAGGTTGAAAAAAAGGAGATCCTCGAATTACTAACAGGAGAAGAAGATGATAGAACATGTGCGGATCTGAAAGTGATTCCCATCATAGGGATGGGGGGTGTTGGGAAGACGGCTCTGGCTCAGCAAGTTTACAATGATACTAGAGTCACCGACTACTTCGATGCGAAGGCATGGGCTTGTGTTTCTAATGATTTCGACTTGCTTACTATTACAAAGAAGATCCTTGAGACAACCAATGGCCATTTGTCTTATGAAGGTAAGGACCTCGATTGGCTTCATGATAAGCTGAAGGAACACCTTATGGGGAAGAAGTTTCTTGTTGTTTTAGATGATGTTTGGAACGAGAATTATGGAAATTGGACAATCCTCTTGAAGCCTTTTCAATCAGGAGCGAAGGGAAGTAAGATCATCGTCACGACTCGTAATTTCCGTGTTGCTGAAATAGCCTGTGCTCGACCCTATACTCTCAAAGAGTTGTCACAAGATGCTTGTATGACTTTGTTCGCATTTCATGCTCTTGGAGTCGGAGATTTCGATCATCATCATGATCTTGAAGTATTAGGTATGAAAATAGTGAAAAAATGCCAAGGGTTACCATTAGCCTTGAGGACTTTGGCTGGGTTGCTAAGCTTTAAAGTCAGTCCCCATGAATGGGAAGCTATATTGAATAGCAAAATTTGGGACCTACCAGAAGAAAGTAATGACATCCTTCCGGCTTTGAAACTTAGCTACATCCATCTCCCTTCTAATCTAAGGAGATGTTTTGCTTATTGTGCTATATTTCCCTAAGACTATGAAATCGAACGGGATGAGTTGATTCACTAGTGGATTGCAAAGGGCTTGTTGGAGGGAAAAGAAGAAAAGAACTGTTGGAATATAGGTTTGAAATTTTTCAACGAGCTAGTATCCAGACTGTTACTTCAAAAGTCAAGTAGCAGTGAATCACGATTCTTGATGCATGAACTTGCGAATGACCTGGCAAAGCTAGTTGCAGGTGCAACCTATTTTAACTCAGAGGAGTTTATATTCAAGGGTAATCAAAATACTGCATCTTTAGCTCGTCATGCCTCATTCATTTCCAGCAGTCACGTTGTGTTGGAAAGATTCAAAATATATCATGGAATGAAGGGGCTTAGGAGTTTTATATCGTTAGCGAAGCAATCTAGATATCATAATAGGTCCTATTTGTCCCAAAAAGTGCTACGTGTGACTTGTTATCTGGATTAAAGCACTTGAGGGTGCTTTCATTAAGTCTCTACAAAATCATAGAGGTACCGAATTGCATTGGCAAATTGAGGCAGCTAAGGCTCCTTAATATGTCGTATACTGATATTACAATGCTTCCAAAGTCAATTGTTGCATTGTGCAACCTAGAGGCTTTGATAATGCGGGGCTGTCATTTCCTTATTGAATTACTAAAAGATATGGAGAAACTGATCAATTTGAGATTTCTCGACATTACCAACACTTCGAGCCTTAGAGCAATGCCGCTGTATATAGGTAATATGGTGGGTCTTGAGATGTTGTCCAAATTTGTAGTGGCAACGGGAGATGGCTCGAGGTTGAAGAAGTTAAAAAACCTGGAGAACCTTCGAGGGGAATTGTGCATCTCTGATTTGCATATGGTTCGAAAAGCTGGAGATGCCAACGATGCCAATTTATGCACAAAGAAGGGAATATGCTGGTTGAAAATGCAATGGAGTAGAGATTTTGAAAATTTCCGGAATGAAGAGCTTGAAGCAAAAGTCCTGGACTTTGTTCGCCCTCACCAAAACCTTGGAAATTTTGAAATATCCTCCTATGGTGGCCTAGAATTCTCTTCATGGTTAGGAAGTCCCCCACATGTTAACATAGTGCATTTACGTTTACATGGGTGTCATAAGGCCAAAGCATTACCATCACTTGGGCAACTATCTTTGCTGAAAGAATTGTACATTGAAAACACTTTCATATTTAATTAAATCATACCCGATCAGACCCATATTGCTAAAACACTTTCATATTTAATTAAATCTAGGAAAATTCATACCATATCTTTGATGAGTGCGCGAAGTGAGCGTAAGGTTGAGTAAGGGCGAGAGAGATGAGTTGAGTTTAAATCAGTTGTAAATTCATTTATGACCCATTTACGATCCATTTATGACCCATTTAATACTAATATTAGACTTCTACCCATTTATGCCCTATTTACTAAATATAACTAACCAATTTATGATCAATTTACTAATATATGGGTTAAGAAATGGGTTTATGACCCATTTTGACAGGTCTAGATACATTACATGAGTCGGTTACCTAAAAAAAAAGATCCATATATATATATATATATTTTGGTCTAGCAAAGATCCATATTTATGCGGCCAAAGATTATATGCAAAAGAGGTGGGTTTTAATTTTAATTTTTAGATAGCGAGCCACAGGAGCTTTTTGTGGGCGTAACATTCATCGCCATTTGATCTTTCTTTTTTATTATTATTCTTGATGCTTCAGTTACTCACACGGTCGTCATCATCATCTTCACTGTCCATTAAAATAAAATCTCAACATCCCGTCAAGTTTTGTCAATTTACGTCTCATTCTCGAATTAATTCTCAACAAAATAGTTACATGACTAATATTTCGCCCGAATTATTTTATACATTTGTTTTTGGATATTTCATAGATAATCGACAATCTGGAACAATTCTCAGGAATTATTTTCCTTTAATTTTTCCCATTTTCTGTGCACAGATTGATTGATTTGAAATGGTAGCATCAATTTTTAGACTTGTGAATCTGGGATGTCGTTAAGGGACTGTCCGTGTTTGAATTTGGATTTCTCTGCTTATTTTTTTTGCACTCTTTAGCTGTTTGTTGTATTGCCTCGTCCGATTTATCTTGTGGTTGCTATGCTCTGTCTCGTTCGCCGAGGTTCTCTCGATCTTGCTTGCGTTGTGGGTTTCATAATGGAATTTCCATTGGTGAAGTTTGTAGGTACAAGCCGGCGACCTATGGTAACGTCTGTATAACCTTCCCTCACCATGGCCTTACCGGAATTCAGTTCTAGGAGGAGAAGATGCTGAAGGGGGACCCTGGATGTGAGATTGCTCCTTATTGTAGAGACGAAGAAGTAGGGAAATGCCACTGCAGGCTAGCTTTCTTGTTAAGATCTCGACTTTTGTGGAAACGCTTTTCGTGATTTTTTGTTGGTCCTCAAATTTATCAAGAGGATAGGTATGTATATGTTTTCTTTCCCCCTTCAATAAGTGTCTGCTTTTCCTTGATGTGCAATCCACTAGATGAATCTGAAGTCGGGACTTAGCAAAAGACGAGTTTGAAAAGGTTTACAAGTTGCATCACATCGGAAAAGATTGGCTTAGAACTTCAGGTGGATGGAGTTTATGTCATGTTAATGGCAGTTGGGTGCTTTAAATCCTCTTTCCTGTTTTGGTCTGATTCGAACACATCTACTAAGTTGTGGAACGTACTTGGTTATTTTCCCTTATATCTCTAATCCTGATATGCGAAAATTGCTCTTGCAGCATTCACCGGAAGTGGAAGGAACTCGATATTAGCTTTCTGTCTGTATTTACTGATTCAACGTACTTATTCCCACGCACACAATCTTCTCATATCTCAGCATACTGTGATGCACATCGAAATCTATGGGGGAAACAGATTTATTGCGCCTCAACCCTTCCATTCCAGCATTTTACTCACCATCCAAGATTAAGGAACGGTCTAGTCGCTTCGAGTGCAGACACAAATGAAGGCATTTCGCGGACTGGATAGCACTCGATGAAATCTTTGCCCAAAGTTCATTTTGATAACTGTTCATATTTTGCTTTATGAAATCAAAGATGCATAGCCCCTGGACTCTGGAGTCGCTGGTTGGCAAAGTTTAAAGGGTGAGTAGATTTTTTTCTGCTAATTCTTCTAACTGGCTGTTTAAGAGGCAGGTAATGATCACGGGGGTGTAATCAGAATTTAGAAAGAATCTCTTCTGAAGGATTAGCAAATTGTCCGCACTACTTGTTCATTTCTAGCATTGTATTAAAGCACACGTCAATAGTCTAAAATTTCTCATCTGTTATGTTGTTTGTTATTATTTCCTTGGTTATCTCATTGACGTGATTACGTCCACATTCTGTTGTGCATGAGGGATCGGTTCTATGCAAGGGGAGTGTTATGATATATTGCTTGGCACGTTTCCTAAAAGCTTAAGCTTTTAAAAGATGCATTTGTCTAACATGCAGCGATCAAATCAAACAGCATGACCAATCAGCCAACCCAATGTTCTTGTTTCATTCTTTCTTCTAGTAATTGTGGATTGTCTGGAAGACTTTCAGACAAACATTGCAAGCCTCTCATAAAATCATCGAATTGCGATAAGATTTAAAGCTTGGATTGTTAGCCGCTCATATACCAGCGAACTTCGGCTTATTAAATCTTCTATCTATAGTCTGGTTAACCATTAGCGCCAACTCTTTCCGTTGCCCAGGAAAGCTTTTGAAATGGTTGAGGGAAAGTGCAGAGCTTTCCTTTGGAAGGGAGATCCTGATGCTAAAGAGGGAGCAAGAGTTAGATGGGACACTGTCTGTCCTCCTAAGCAGTTTGGAGGCCTTGGCATTCGAAGACTGGACTCGTGAAATCTTGCTTGTCTTTTAAAGTGTCTCTGGAGTATTTGGTTGAGGTATGGTCTCTATGTTTTGCCTGGCTCTGTAGCTATCATCTTGACTGGAAACCAGATGCTACTTACTATGCTTGGTATGATTTGTGACACCATGCTGCGATCTTGCCGGTGTCATCTCTCAAGGAGAATAGCTTATGAATCTTCTCTTCCATCAGTCCATTCTTTTCTCCTTCATTTTACGGAGGAAACCCGGCAAGAAGTGAACGTAAAAGGTGTGTGGTTTGATGAGATTTCGGTTCTTCCATTTTGCATCTGCATGTAGAGGGGATCACAGAAGAGTAAATGCAATGAAGGGTTTGATATCGAGGTTCGAAACCTGTATATTTTGGTCTTTATTCTGTTCGTCTTCGTCGAGGGAAGATCGATGCTCTTGAAACACAATATAGTTTACGAACTTTATTTTGGATCTACGGCAGAATAAGCTGGTTACGAACTTTAACTTTCGAAGCTAAATTACTTATTTCAAAGGTAAATCAAATTACTTCCTCTAAGGTAAATGAGTTCGTCTTAAGAGATGTTACTCCTTTCAAAGAGATTGAAATTCCCATGAAGGTCATACCTTATAGCTCTTGTACTTAGCAGCATAACCCCAGCAATTGTAATTTAACAGACCTTGGTGTAATTTGGATTGCACCTGTAGTTAGTATTTTTCTTTTTCACGGATTAGTTTAGGCTATAGACTTCGTACCATGAGACTGTCAATCACCTTAGCATAGTAGCTTATCTTAAATTGTTGCAATGGATGGAACCTGTAATCTGTACTGACCTCAGTAATGGTAGATTGCTTTACACTTCATAAATTCATAATGTTGTCACTAGTAATTATTCAATAGAGTTAATTTTACGGAAAAACTCCAAACTAGTATATTTTTAACAAATTTATCTCACACTAATTTTAAGGCCACCAGAAACCTCAAACTAATATACGTGCGACAATTTACCCCAAACTGATATGAATTTCCACGTGGACTTGCCATGTCAGTTAACTTATTGCCGATTGTCATCCAGTTTAGTAATTTCACAATAAAATTTGACAGACGCTACAAAAAAGTATATATGTCACGATTGTACATGTTTGGGATTTTTTGTAACCCAACAATTAGTTTGGGGTAAATTTATCACTTTTATACAAATTTGGGATTTTTTTGGTATTAATCCTATTCAATAATGTCATTGTTTTCCTTGCACGGTCGTAATCATTAATTTACTATAGTCAGTAACTTGGCATCACAAATTTCCTTAATACTCTCAATGATGCTATCACCTAGTGATTATCCAACAATATGGTAATATTCCTCAACAGGGCTTGACTTATAGCTCCTGTTCTTGATAATTATACCTCTAACAATAGTAATTTGTTTGAAGTAGGCGTAATCTCAATTAACCTATAGTAATTAGCTGGAGAGTTCATAAAATAAGAATGCTATCACTTAATATTATCACCACAAAGAATCGTAACTTCGTAGGCCATAGAACCTATGATTGGTGGCTCACCTCAATAATCATAAATTACCTCTAAATCCATGAAAATGACAATTAGTAATTTCCGATAATAAATCACCTTAAATTACTGTGAACAGTAACTTCACTTAGGAAACAGCAAGCAACTTGAAATTTTATTGTAATTTCCTTTTTCCCTTTTCTCAATTATTTGCCAAAACAATTATACCACTCAATTTAAGTTCGTAAATTAAGCTAACCTAATTTAGAATAGCTGGGCCTGATCGCCAACAATCTTCCTCAGTCAAACGTAAAATTTATAATCTCTGCTGTCGTAACAGACTTTAAATGTCGGTAATTTATCAGTATGACAGGTAACTGGTGGCACTTTTATAAAATTGATTCGGCGGACGAGATTTTCTAGCTTTAAATCCGCAGCCGTTAAATAGCCTGCTCGGCCCTAGAATTTTCCGGGGAGTTGAAATTTAGCATTCGCTCAAAAATTCATTTGGCAATTCAGTTCATTACTAAGATTTGAATGGAAATATGTGATAAATGTTCGATGGCATGAAATCAAATTTGTACCCGAAAAATTGGCACAAGGACCAAAATTGAACCCACGAAAATTTACGAGGACCATAACGCAATTTTCCGAAATGAATGGAAATCCAAAAGTAATGCGTCGAAACGGATAAGGCGTCAGTCGTGGGAACGAAGAGCGAAAGAGCGCTTCTTCTTCGTCGCCATCGCTCTCTATCCTGCGCTTTGCACGGCGATAAGCCATGGCTGCTTCCACTTCGGTCTCGTTCCTCAGCCAGAATCGCTTTCTGGGTTCCTCCCAGAAGCTTCTCTCGGTCTCAATCTACCCGAAATTCATCGGGACAGTCCCGATGATGCAGCGGCCGCGGCGCCAATGTCTCTTCGCCGTGGAAGCACAAGCCAAGACCAGGAGAGAAGACCGGCTCGCCCGCCATTCTCGCATTAGGAAGAAGGTCTCTTCTGGGTCTCGCACCCTTTTTTGCGCACTGGTTTTTTCATGATGCCCATGTCCCAGTTCAAGATGGTCGAGTGCGCTAGTGAGGGCATTGGTTGGGTTGGGTTCATTTTGCTTTTGAGGGCGGGTTCGATGTGGTTCCATGGCGAGTCTCTGTTCGAAATGGATTGGTATGGTGCGGGCATTTGTTGGGTTCGTGCGGTTTCGTTTGGGGTGGGGAGTGGTTTTGAGGATGAGAGCGTAGAGAGTGTGTTGTTGTGGTCTAGAATCTGAATGAGATAGCTTTGAGATTGAGCTGTCGAATTGTACTCGGTGTTTTGTTTGTCAATTCTGTAAACGGCATATAGGGTTGCTGAACTAGGAAAAAGAAACGGAGGAGAAGAGAAAAATGGACCTAGTTCATCCTCCACTGATATTTCTCACTAAGTTCTTTTTTTTAAGGTTAACAATTAACATGGTTATCTGGATCTTCTGCTCTGCATAAATCCGTGTTGTCAACATACATAGTCTAACGTTCCTAGCCACTGGGGGCGGGTGTGACCTCTGGGTGGCTTTGAGTGAAAGACGCCGTGATTTGATCGTGATAGCTGCCACATTCAAACTGAGCACTTGATAACACGGTCTACACCTTGGGGGGTTATTGATTAGTAGTTTAGTTTCTTTCTACTAGATGTATTGTGGTGGCACCATATCATGTGTTCCTACATCATTGGGTGTTGGATTCACATGACAAATTTTAAGTGATTCTGAGTTTTTACTTGTTGGAGACCATGCTACGGCATTAGGGTTAAAGTGCCGGAGTTGTGCTGGCGATTCGTGAAATCGAAGCGGTAACTTCGTTTAGCGTGAAATTGAAGTTTTTCGGGTGTTGCAGGTTCAGGGGACTCCAGAGAGGCCGAGATTATGTGTATTTCGTTCCAACAAGCACCTCTACGTCCAGGTGATTGATGACACTAAGATGCACACACTTGCTGCAGTATCAACGATGCAGAAGCCCGTCTCTGAGGAATTTGACTACAGTTCTGGTCCTACCATTGTGAGTATCCAAATGTACCTTAATTCGCTGCATGTACTGTCATCGTCCGTGTATAGAAAATAATAGAGTTTGAAAAAGAAATGAAAGAGAAAAAAAATTTGGGACTCAGATAAAGAAGTGCCTCATCTCCTGTAGATTTCTTTCTGCAATCCATGTGCATTTTTGAGACACTAAATGTAATCAAACTTAAGAAATTCTGACACGGCTTGGGATATATTTCTTTTCAGAATGTAGATCCTCTATGAAAACATTTTGAACTGCTTTTCTTTGTGTGCTTTGCTGAAGAAACTCTCATCCTTGTAACTTGTTGGCATCAGGAAGTGGCAAAGAGAGTGGGTGAAATCATTGCGAAGTCTTGCTTGGAGAAAGGAATCATGAAGGTAGCCTTCGACCGGGGTGGATATCCCTACCATGGACGTGTGGAAGCTCTCGCCGAAGCAGCCCGTGAACATGGTCTTCAATTTTGAATTCTGATTGCTAGCTTTGTTCATTCCGATCGTCTTTTCTTTGTCAAGAGAACTCTTGATTCAAACACGAATGCATCAGTTTATTTAGCGGATTTGCTCCTTTTTCAGCTCAATGCAAATGAGATATGGCAATGATTTCCGTACCTTGTGTCAAACAGAATGAAGCATATTTAACTGAAGTCTTTTGCTGTGGTCTGTGAATGTGGACAGCTCACCTTTCTGTGAGATCACAGTGTAATAGCTCGGCCGATGGATTGAAAAATAACATGATGGTTTTGCCGAACTTGTCATATTCTGAATACAAAGTTTTGGTGATTCTTATGGCGATGTTCTTTCAAGGGAAGATAAAGCATTACATATGATGTTGGGAGAGCATTCGGACATTCATGTGTGAAATGAAATATCCAAACTGAGTTCTAGATAAAATCAATTTATTTGGATAAAATAGAAGGATCAAATTCAATCTGGGAATCACTCCTCTCACTTGCAGATCAAGACATTTTTGGCCACCCTAATTGACACTTTGCATGAAGAAGCTTCTGATCCACATCTCATTTGCAATTTCTTTTTTGCCAATTCTAGTCAACTTGGCCACTGGTAAATGTATTCCCAGAACCCAGTTTGCCCATTCAAACCATACATGCCCTCCTCAGAGACAAGCCACAAGCACTGCGTATCGCAGCGAACCGAGTCTCTAGCAAAAGAATACGCATCGAAATGGTATTCCTGCAAATTTGCCCATCCCATGTCACAGTAAAACAGAGTCGTACCCCACACGTTCACATCAAAATCCCACCCGAATTCACCTCCATCTGCAACAGTCTGCTGGCCCAGATCATTGTCTTTGGATTGGCAATGAAGGGTCATGTTCTTGCCGCTCCCCAGCCGGTTCTTGACGCTGACGTGGACCTCTGAGAAAACCAGGGCAAAGAAGCTTCCTGTTAGGAGGAAGAAGATGATACTGCCGCTCTTGAATTTGGTTGAAGCATCCATGTCTCCTCACTGAGAATGTTTCAGTTTCTTTTAAAGCCAGCCAGGATTGTGTCAGTCTCTTCTTTATGTATATACAACATGAAGATAATGTGCTAGACTTAGTTTATTTCACCTTATTTTGTTTGTCTTGCTGTCACGTCGGATGAAAGAGTCACGCAACTGATCTTTAGCGGATGAGGCTGGTTGTCCTTGATGTTTATGTTGTGGTCCGGTGGTATTCTGAGTCAGTTTTTTGTCCGGACTAAGTTTAGTTTTATGATCGAATCAAAGACGGTATCATCCACGTTTGGAGCAGGGGATGATTGCAAGGACTGTGTTCATTTACAAAAGTTACCCTTTGGAGTCATTAGTTATGAGGTTTGGTCTGGACTTTGACATTATAGTAGGAGTTGAACAGGAGAGTCCAAAAACAGAGCTTCCTAGATTTTACATTTCGACGTTATCAAGGCAAAGCCCTTGAAGTTTCCTCTGCCAAAATGCCCCCAACGATGCCGTACACGACAGTGCCTTAACGCGAACGGTTGCGTCTCTGACCATTGGACAACGTGCGTACGATGCGTGACTGCAATGGAGTAATGGATTTTGGTATCATTTGGAGATTTCAATTATTTGAGATTTCATTTTTTTATGCTCGATTTGAAATCCACGGGTTCAGCTCCAGCTTCGATCGAACAATCAATCTGTGCCACAGATGACAGGTTGATGCATACGGTATTTTGGATTCGGGTGTCAATTCAGTCCCGAACAGTTCAATTTTGCCAATTGAGTCTTAAATCTTTGCTCGAAATTTCAATATAGTCGTTCCGATTGATTTTTGCCTAAAAATCGCTAACTTGGCGGTGTGTTATATATGACGGTGCGATTTTCAATGAAAATTGGCCTCTATTTCCTCTAATGAGGTGAGCCTTAAACGATCTCTTGTCCAAAATGTCTGTCGAGTAAAAGAGGATTTTGATAGCCGTTGTTGTTAGATATACCCGTCAAACCAAATATTGGATGCGTTTCATTTGATTGATGGGATATCCATTAATATCATCTTTCCATCATCACAATTGCATTGAGCATTAGCCAGTCAGGGGCAGATAGTAACTTGTACATTATGGACTTTCTTAATCGCGATTTACTAATGTATATGTTATCGTGCTAATTTAACAAAATGCAGAGTAACTTTTGAAAATGCGAAGTTACCGTGGTAAGTCTAACAAACCTTCAAGAGCGCATACCTATCTATATCAATAAGCATCGCATGAGAAAATGAAAAAATGGATCACATCATGTTAACGCATGAATTTTGGCCGACAGATTGAACACGTATTTATGTGAAGAAATAAAAGATAGATATGAAAATATATAATAAAAATGAATAACAAGTACAAGTAAAAACAAAAAAAGGTGGTCCAATTCGGTCATAGTTAGTTCCTGTTCTGTTTACAAACGTTTTGATGTCCAAATTGAAGTTGTGTCGGTTGTTTCTTTCTGCGTTTCCCGTATATAGTCTATTGAAATGCGAATAAATTTGGGCGTATAGGCATACTGTATTTGCTCGCTGTTTATGTGTGCTTGAATATGTCAAATGCTGGTCATGTGAGTTTGTTGTTCGCTGTTCATGTGTGTGTTTGCTGGTTGCTTTTGTTCATATGTGGAATATGAGGATTTTGATCTCATTTCGATAATGTTTTAGTCATGTGAACATATAGAGAAATGTTGCATTGATGTTGCATTCGTCTTCCATCAAATTGGGGTGTTTCGAAGCTCGAAACACATTTCGACCAAAACAAAAAAGCTTGAAATACGTAAAAAAATGATTGGAGTCGAGTAAAGTTGGTTGTTGTTTGGTGTTACTTTGTGTTCCTTGGACCTCCCCAGCACGTATATCCACGTAAGAAACCGACGCTTTGGACTCGTATCGATCTCATGTTGGATCATCACATTGTTGTGCTCGAAGCGTGCTTAAGATGTCCTAGGAGCTTGCTGTCCTCATGTATTTGTGCAGAGAATGAGGATTTTTTTTTTCCTCATTTGGATGATAAACTTGTTTCTGTCGTCGGTGGCGTCTTCGTTCCGTTGAAGTAGCTGCTAGAGCTTTTTGTTGGGTCTCCTGTGAGAGTTGCTGTCAACTTTTTCTCATATTGGACAATGGTGTGCATAGCTGAAAGTTGCTTTCTGCGAGGTAGAGAAGTGAGTATTTTGAGCTAAATCTTCACTGCATCATGTTGACATCTTCTCAGCTTTCCATTCATGCTTTGAGATTGACATCTTCTCACCTTCTTTAATAACCTTTCAGCTTTTCACTCAGAAAAGCTAATTTATCGGCAGATTGCTTAAAAAAAATAATCTGCAAAATGCAAATGCAAAAAGAAACCTAGCTCTGAATTCTGAACATCCGTCCCGTGTCTTCGTCAAAGCTGAAAGGAATAACATATCCTAGAAGTACAATGATGCATAAGACAATCAATTACTTGAAGCTTAAGCAGTTAAATCACTAGGCTGAATCTTATTTTGAGACTAGAGACATCGCCCATCCATCGCAGGAATATTATGATTATCGAAAGTGAAAGACAGCTCAAGGTAAAGTGAGAACTTTTTCATGTAGCATGCATAAGAAATACCAATCTTTCAATTCATTCACAGGCACAGCATCTCCAGGCTTTAAAAGTTAAAAACATGCACATATCGCATCGTTCAAAATGTTCAAGAACTTTCCTTCAATGGTCCCGAACAAAGAGGCGAAGGAGCAAAGGCTTCATAAGTTGGATTTTCTTGGGATTTAAAAGTAAGCCCGAAGCACAAGCACCACCGACTATTCCAGATAATTTCTTTATTGCAATGATGATGATATTATGGCGAATAACTTTAAGAAAAAGTCCGAATTTAGAGGTTGAATTTCCCAGGGACGTAACCGAGTGAAATTACCTTGAATGCCAAAGAAAAACCTTAATCTAGCCGGGCAGTTTTCACAAACTTAGATTCCAAGCAAGACACAAACTACGATGCTTATCAGTGCCAATCTTATTGTGAGACCAAGGCAACTCTCAAAACTACGCTTAACAGAGAACTTGATAATTTTGATTACATTAAACATCGAGAATTAGATGACAGCGAGATTCAATGATTAGTTTGACAGAACAAAGACCTTCCTCTGTGCTTCATTAGAGAAACTACAGTCAATAAAAAGATGAGAGCGATTCAATGCTTAGATTACAGAACACGCAGAGAGATCTAGTACTCCCAACGTACAAACGGTTAATCCTCTCAAAAATGGGGAGTTTATCATGCATGACTAAACAAGAAATAAAGCTAGATCTTGACTCATTAGGGGAGAACCACACAAGTTTGTGCCAGTCAACATTAGCACCCTTGCTTCTCACAATTTCCCAAGCAATAAAAGAGTTAAGGCAACCATTTGAAGAAGCTTGCATACAACTTTGTCTGCAGTCGAGGAACTAGGAAAAATCACCACACAAACTGCAGCTTGGATGGGAACCAGCTCTTCAGGCCTAGCAACGGGCCACTTCCAATGAGAGTTACAAATTACAGCAGATACATAGGCCTGCAGAGGAAGAGAAGAGTCATAAGTAATTCTCCTTGAGAAATGATCCAGCAAGATCCTAGCATGGTGCCACAATTCATACCAAAGAGAAATATTATCTCCAATACCCACTATATATTCTAATATGGCGTTCCAAAATTTTCCCGACTCTTAATAACTTCTTCCAAGCATAATAATTAGCATTTGGTTTACAGTGAAGATGCTACCCATACAGCCAGGCAAAACATAGAGGACCCACATCTCGACAAAATACTCCCAGACACTTCAAAATACAAGCAAGATTTCCCAAATCCAGTCTTCCAAGCTTCCAAACTGCTTAGGAAGATAGACAGTGTCCCAGCTTACTTTGGTCCCTCTTTGGCATCAGGATCTCCCTTCTGAAGGAAAGCTCTACACTTTTGCTTAACCATTTCAATTACTTTCTTTGGCAACAAAAAGAGTTGACACTAATAGTTAACCAAACTATAAATAACAAATTTAATAAGCTGAAGTTCGACGGCATATGAGCGGCTTTTAACCGTCCAAGCTTTAAATCTTGTTGTAATTTGACGATTTTATGAGATTGTCTGAAAGTTCTCCGGACCATCCAAAATGACTAGAAGAAAGAACCAAACAAGAAGATAGGGTTGGTTGATTGGTCATGCTGTTTAATTTGATTGCTGCATGTCAGACATATGCATTTCTTAAAAGCCTAAGCTGTTAGGAAACGCACCAAACAACGTATATATAACGTATAACTCAACACTCCCGTTGCGTAGAACCGATCCCTTACACATGCACGACAGAATATGGACGTAATCACATTAATGGGATAACTGGGGAAATGATAATGAGCAACATAACAGACAAGAAATTTTGAACCATTGACATTTGCTCTGATACAATGCTAGAAATGAACAAGAATGCGGACAATTTGTTGGAAATTTAACAAAACAAGTAGAATGCGAACAATTTGCTAATCTTTCATAAGAGATTCTTTTTGGATTCTAATTATATCCCATGATCATTACCCGCCTCTTAAACAGCAAGTCAAAAGTAAAAGCAGAAACAAATCTACTCACCCTTTAAACTTTTCCAACCAGCGACTCCAGGGCTATGCAGCTTTGATTCCATGAAGCAGAATAAGAATATTCATTAAAATGAACAATGGGCAAAGATTTCGTTGAGTGCTATCCAGGACGTGAAATGCCTTCACTTATGTCTGTACTCAAACCGACTAAATTGTTCCTTTATCGTGGATGGTCTGGAATGGAAGGGTTGAGGTGCAATAAATCCGTTTCCCCCATAGATTACCATGCGCATCACAGTATCCTCAGAAATGAGAAGATTGAGCGTGTGGGACTAAGTACTTTGTATCGGTAAATGCAGACAGAAAGGTAATACCGAGTTCCTTCCACTTCTAGCGAATGCTGCAAGAGTAATTTTCGGCATATCAGAATCAGAGATACAAGGGAAATTAGTCAGGCATCTTCCACAGCTCAGTAAATGTGATCAAATGGAGTTTCCAGACTAGAAAACTAGAGAGAATTTAAAGCACCTAAATCCCATGAACATGACATGAACTTGCTCTATCCATGCGAAGTTCTGAGCTACACTTTTTTCGATGCGAT